GAATACGTCAAGATGCGATAATTGATTCATTTAGTTTTCTTGAGGATCGATGGTGCACGGACCGAATTACGTCATTATGGACCATGATGGAATATTCAGTTGCAACAAACTAATCAGCTTCAGCCAACTTCATTTACTGATAGAAGCAATTTACTAGAGTGAACAATAAGAATCTACGGAAACTCTTTTGACACTGTGGCGTGCCTGAGAAGATAGTCAACGCCATTTGGAAATCTTATAATGGATGAAACTGCCTAATCGTGCACGAAAGACTGCCAAGAGAATCTTTCGAGTTGAAAATCGGTGTCGGACAAGGTTACTTACTCGCTGTACTCCTGACAGGCAACTGGATTATGATGAAGTCAACGTCTGGATGGAGGTAAGATATATCGTAAAAAGTCAAGATGCAGCCAATCTTGATTTCGCATATATCCTGACTACTCTATCGTACAAGCAAACACAAATGCAGAAGGAAGCATCAAGTGGAGGAGCAGCCTCAGCATCGTCTGATCTACAGTAACACAAAGGAGGAAACAAGATTCCATGATTCAAACAGCATGAGTCATCCAAATCGCTCCTGATTGACACGCCTTGACAAACTGTGTGACATCATCAAAACTCGAGGTGATTGCAGCGCACACATACATGTGCGGATAGGCAAATTTTGTACAATTGAAAGAACATTTGGAACTCACAAAAACTCCTAACTAACACTGAAATCAGGATTATGATTCGAAATTTCAAGACGGCATGTGACGGATACTTGGAGAACAAGAAAATAAAAGTATTGAATAACGGTCGTCTACCGAAAATACTTATGATCATTTAGCCAGACACTATCAGGGAGAGTCTAGAGTTGGAAAGAACAAACGAGATTACATTTGATGAAGAAATTTGGAACCTTCAATGTAAACAGAAAAGTGAGTGGCCAAGAAACAAATTCGGTCAAGAAAAAGAAGGCGACACGAGAAGAAAAAACGAACATTGAAGGGAGCAGACATTCTTTGAAGAAAACTGATTGACGGCCTATAATCCTTGAGTGGTGACAGGCGTCTGTGCGTAAGTTTGTCATTATCGAAAAAACAATCATGTAGGTCATATGAATATTCGCACATAATTTCAGCAGGGGGTGATTTTATTGTGTTTATTATAGTTAGTAGTTTTCAGCTGTTTGTATAAATGAAATATATTATTCATGTTTGGTTATTATAGATTTATTCATATTGTGATTTACCGGGCAACAAATTAAATAAATTAGTTATGACGGGCATATAATTTCAACCTCGCGTTGAACTTCAAAATCACACAAAACAGTGTGCCTTGCATTTTCGAAAACGTTTCATGTATATTGAGTGTAAGAATGCGATCAAATGACTTATCAGTTGTGTGTGGTGTGCTGCACTAGAAAGACAACTGTCCAATACCCTGTAAGTGTTACCACCTACATCTGATTCGATTAGTTCGAACAAATTAGTCATTCAACAGAAATCGATGACGAAATAATCCTATACAACTTAATTCACTCACGGAAAAGGATAACGTAAGACCAATAATATCATCTGTCAGTTGCTTCGAATTCTATTTGAATTTAAAAACATTGAGATATTATGAAATGTGGTTAATAACTTTGAAAATTTTTAAAGCTGATCAAGTTAAACACATTTAATCATTTACTATTTTAAACGAGATAAAGACTGAGTGAGTTAGACTGTTTTGAACTACACATATGCAAAATCGATAAACTGAAGCTGAAAACGGAAATTTCGTCATCGTAAGTGCAGTTACGGGCAGCTAGTGTGGTAATATTAGCATAAAAAGTGCAATCAAAATCACAAATTTTGCCTGGTTGAAAAATTAATTGATTGACACAGAAGTACCACATTAGTTTAGGATTTATTACAATTTGTGATAACATTCTTAGGTATCAGTTTTTTAAAAAAATTGATTTCGTTTAACAGAAGATCAGAATAATATGTCAAGCTTCCGTTTCATAAGAAACAGTTAACAGTCAAGGTTCACGGACTATATTGATATTTTCATGTCCATAAAATGGGCAGAACTGAGTTTGAATATTTGAGCAAAGTTCAAACTCTTCCGGTGTATGAAGTGTGATCTAGTAAGGCATTCTAGTAAGCAACCTATTTGAGATACCGAGATGAACTTGAAATAGCTTTTCTCTGTAGGTAACAGTGCCATCAGAATTAGCAAGAAAAACAGTGAGAAACAGATCTGTAATACCGTTGATTTTCCTATTTTACAAATGCGTTTCAACCTAATTCACTCAGCTTATGAATAATACTTAATATGTGTTTCATCAACACATTTTTATTATGTGACTGACGTAGAATAAGTTGAACGGTTCAAAATTTCTGCAATAATCAGTTCACGCTAACAGAGTTTGCAAATATTGTGCTTAATACATTCGGCTTCTTATTCTGTGAATGTTTATTACCATTGTTTCGGTATTCTCATTCAGAGAACAAGTTCCTCAAACTGTACAATAATATAATTATAATCTGTCAATAATTTCTCGTTGTAGATCACTTACCTTCTTATCAAGTGCTTGATCACTGATTTGTCTTGATAAACAACACGTCTGATTTTCGATGGATGTTGAATTTTCTGATTCACATGTTGACTGGGAATCTTCCTTATCATCACTGAAAGCTACAATGCAAAAGTCATTTACCTATTATTTGTTTATCAGAATTAAACACAGAGCAAGTGCTTTCGTTCGTGACTAGTTTAGAAAATTAAATTGAAGTACATGTATTGTGAAATATGAGTTCATTGGGTTAAATTTCGCTTTATTATTTAGTTTTGAATGCTAAGTGATGTCAATAATAGGGCCTTTCCTGGTTTATGTTTCAGAATTTACGATAGCCTTAAACAAACATTACGGTTGCTCAGATGCTTTGTAAATTGTGGTTATTAATTATATGAAATCATATTTTTTGTATCTGAATTCCAATTGACACACTCGTTTGCGTTTCGTCCGTGGATTTATAAAGCCATAAGGATACAGATTTTAATTTGTACTCTAACCAAGATAGTATCAATCTAAAGCGTCCGGTTATCAAATGGAAGAAAGACATTCAAACCACCTAAAATCATATTGACAAATTCGAATGAATCATCATCTAAAATTCCCTAGAAAATTGTTCATGATTTATACACTTTTACTACTGAGCTCCTTTTCTTTTAAGATGGGTATTTCGGAAAAAAAGCATTGATATCAACACTTGAATTCCTAACAGCTATGAATTTACGAGTACATTAAGTTACTCTTACGATTGATCCAGCGACTACGTAGAAACAACTCACATGCATACAATTAACACGATTAAGTTAGTAATGACTTGACGAGAGCGATAGAGGCATATGTGAATTGTTTGTAATTATTTCAAGATAATGCGTTTAGCTGTCTCAAGTGTAAATCGATCTACCTTCATATATTATTTTTCGACTAATAAGCCAACCGAGAATTCCATATTTTTGGGTTTTCGAAAGTGATTCACTCAGAAATGATGGGTGCAATAATGCAGAAGCCAGATAAATTCCCGAGTACGAAACTACTCCAGGTCCAGTTTTTGTTATACTGAAGAATTTAAGATCACGTTTGGTAAAGTAGAAAATAAACAATATGGAGAATTACACAGTTTGTAAATATTCCAGATCAGTCAATCAAAAAAAGTTGTCATGCAGTTAATATGGTGCGAAACCATTCACTTACGACGTTACATTTATCACGATATAGAGTTGAAACCATGATTGACAGAAAATTCTGTCAATAAGGTTGACAGTAAGATAACGTTTGAATTACATACCCTTCGAATGGTAAACGAAATGCTGATATCATTTGAACATTATGTTTTCAAGGTATTTATGATTGGCTGAACAGAAGCTTATGGTTATCAATGATTGATCTTTGGATAAGAAAATGTCCTGCAATAATAACTGTTTAAGTTGATGTTTTGTGTTAATAGAATGTGTTTGAGAGATTTGTATCAAGATGAAATCTATAGGAACACCAGTTTATTCAATGAGAAGACTAAAACATGATAGACCAGGTAAAATAATGGATTTTGCATTTCATTTTATTTCAACTTTTATGAATATAAGGAGTAGCAGTGTATGTCATGTCAAAACAAGGTTGTTACGTTAAAACTATTGAGTATAGTTTAAACACACGCAAAATTTTCAACTTACAAGTCGCCTAATAATGAAAGTTTGCGCAATGAGATTATGTAGTTTCTAATTTGTGAGTCGTAAACTTTAAAGAAGTAGATATTCGGATACAGGTTTCGCTGAAAAAGAAATGTTTCAATCGTCAGCCTACAAAATAAAAATTATTTTATAATAACTGTTAGAAACTATTATGTCTAAATGTTTCAGAATAATAATTTTTATTATCACAAACGAGCAATCGAGTCAACTCTAAATTCATGGCATCTAAACGAACTGACTTAAATACTTAACTTAATAGTTGACCACAATATCAGAATTTAATAAAACGCTGAAACTACATTTGCATATTTGGAACGACAATTTTTTTCAAATGATCACTGTTTCGCTCAATTGATCGTAATCATGTATTGGTCCACAGTAACTATGATTCATAGTAGCATTACATTATACAATCATTACTTTTCGTCAACTAACTGTCACTATTTGACGCTGTTTCCCATCATCTTTTCATTTATCATAGTCCTAAATTTATTCGCTTGTCCATTTCATCAACTTATAAATTCAAAGTGAATTCTGGTCATCGTCAATACATCGACAGACAAAATCTACAATAACGAAGACAATAAGAAAAGCACCTAATCATATGCTGATTTATATTTCCTCAATTAACAGACATAAGCATAAGTTATGTCAGGAATCATCTGCTTGTACTGAGAAATATCAGAATTCATGCATGATCAATCACTATGTTAACACAGTTAACAATCAAAGGGTTGTGAAATTTTACATAATTTTTCACCTAAAGAACTTACTTTATCTATTATCTCATAGAACGCTTTGATTTGAGTGTTAAAATTATCCATATTTATTGCTGAATATTCAGTTTTCCTTATCTGAATTACATATTGAGTTATTATTTTCATAAATTATCAAAATGAGACAAACCATGTCAATAGCGCTGTTTCGTTTATCTGCACTAGTCCATGACTTCGATGATAACGAATGAATTATTGTTCCCTTCAGTTTCAAAAACAAGTCATAAACCTATATAAAACAAACATGTAAGTCGGTCAAAAAAACACTACGTGAATGATTTATATCATCAATAAATAGTTAAATAGTGAAACATAAATCTTAGGTATCAAACAGACAGAAAAGTATGTATGTGGTTTCTCACAAACATAACACATCACCACAAAGGAGGTTGTCCGTATACGTGTATGAGAGAATTGTCTATTGCTGATGCTCTACCGTTCATCAGACTTTCATTTTATGAATCAGATGAATTTCACGCTGAAAGCCAAACACATATGCTTTCAGATAACCTTGATGTCGTATCTTAATTGAACATTTGAATCACTATTCTATAAAATACTAGACTCACTTGTTTATCCGTATTGTTATTTATACTAGGATATTCATTACGTTGTTCAAAAGCCCATGGGAAATTCTCTCTCATTTCATCAATGCAACGTCTTGGATTTGTATCTAAATGTTTCGTTGACAATGAATAATTTTATTAATATTCATCGAATGAATTAATATAGAGAAAAATCATACTTTTGTCTTCGATAAGAACTTATCCAATATCTGGATGGAAAAAGCTATCAGTTCATTATTGATTCGTCTGACATTTCATGCTGCTTATTTAAGCACTGCATACTGTCAAACATTTAAATGATAGTACTTTATGAAAACAGTCATTTTTATAAACATCAGTTGGACTGCAGTTTGTTTCACGACCAAACATCACGCACAGGTGAGTGCAAACGTTGGAAGGAGTGAGTGAAAACCAGTTCTTCTGTTAACTTTTGCTTTTGTCAAATTGATTAAATCAAAAGTTAAATATATATGTGAAACGGAAAATACAACTCACGAGTATCCACAGGATAAAATTCTCCGAAATATTGATTCAAGGTGTGTCTCATGTTGTGCAAAAAACTGATCACTATCATATTGTGTAAAGCTCTACAATGGTGGTTAGGAAAACAACGTGTTTAATCAAACACAATCAGTATTTAGTTAAACATTAACAATAGTCGTCAAATCCGAAAGTGTTTGAACGTAGCACGGATATCACATGCAAAAGGATCATCAAACACCACCTTTTAATATATTTCATTCGTTTTTCGTATTCATTCACTTACTTCCAAGTTATAGTTATGACATTCTTATCTTTTTTCTCAAAAAAGTGATTTTTCAAGACATTGTCTAGAATGCTGAGAGAAAACCCTTCCAGTTATTTGAATAAAACCATGAATGTTTTTTTTCGAATGCAGATTACTTAGGAACAGCATTACGCATCTTTGACAACACACAGATATCATTCAAAGGTATGCCATACTGCTGATCATAATTCACCAGTTAAAAAATTTATTTTGTCAGATTGTATGTCAATATTTTATCTACAAATATTAAATTATGTGCGACAGGAAAAACTCTATTCAAAGCGATCGAAACCCTTATGCTCTGGTGATTGATATTATTCGTATAACAAGGAAAACTGAAATATTATGCTTCATAGAAAAGTATATAATTACAAAAAGCCTTGCCAAAATAATCAGTTTACAATAATTATTGCACATTCAACTTTTGATTACTATCAATATCATGTAGATAACAGAAACCAACTAACTGGCGTAAGGATATGATTTGTGAAAATTATATTTCCAATATTCTCGTCTGCACTATTTCACTTTTATGAAAACGTTACAATTTAAATTAGCGATGAACATTTTATCCATACTTAATATAATAATTAGTTGTTTACAAACTGACAACAAAGTGTCTACTTATATCTGTGTTATGAGTGAGTGAGTTTTCGACATAACAACATGAGATCTAGTACGAGAATGAAATTACGGAACCATTAAATAGACATTCTAATAATTACTTTCTCCCCTGTAATTCTTTGATAGCTTCTCCAATCGTTTTGCAAGCATGATGAAATGAATCTAAATTTTTGACAACGATTTCCACAGTGGCATTTTCCGGAAAACTCAGTTCCCTGAATAAAGATTCTGATAATTCTTGCCAGTTGATCTAGCAAAAGTAAACAATGAAACACAAGGTGTTACAACATGTTTTGTTAATGAAATCGCATTTTCCGCATATGTGCTATATATGTCAGCTTATGCTGATCAACTCATTCAAATTATATTTTCTTGGTCACAACAAGAACAATGCTTTTTCGAAGCATCTTGTCTGAAATAAGTTGACAGTTCCGTTGTTAATTTCATCAGAAACAGACAATCTGACGAGTCATACAGAGAAACAAGTGAACATGTCATATTACCGTACATTGTTGAGTTATAAGTTTCGCTATAATAAACAGAGAAAAAAAGTGATGACGCCAAAGCTTGAACTTGTGATGATCGCGAAGATCGTTCCGCAAGTATTTTATTCGCACTTCCTTTCTCCCCAGTGTGATTCACATCTTTGAAGCTACTGAAATACTTGTTTCGAGTATATAGCTATTTGAACACTAGCTATTTGGTTTTTATCAGTTTACGTAAATACAGAACAGCCTTCGCTTAACAACACTCTAAAAACAATCCAACCTCAGTGTGTTGTGCTTTATAAAAACCTAACTGTAATTATGATGAGTTCCATACGATTGTTTTGCAACAGGCATTTGACTAACACAGCTAGCATGACTAAAGAATCATTGAATTTGGCTCATGTGAATAATATAAAAAAACAAAACTGTTAAGTGAAACAGAAAAATCTAGTATGATTAAAGCGGATAAATTTGTTTTATTTGCAACAGAAACTATTGAAGTGATTATATTGGTCAAGATAAGGCTCTCTGATTTCCCTCGTGAGGTTTGAATCAATTTTTGAACATCTCCTTCTAAAAGACCCTCTATTACACAACTTTCTGAATGTATCAACAAATATCACGCCGACAAAATTAATGCAGCAACCTAGTTCAAAAATTAGTTTCCTCAGCCATTTTACTTAAAATCAAAATATGAATGAAACGTAAGATTTACAGGATCTTGACTCTAAATTTCCTTTATCGGATGTAAGGTACCTACAATGTCACGTTCAACATTACTATCTTGACATCAAGGTTTGAAATCATTTTCATCCTCCAACCTCATCTAAGCTCAATCTTACTTACTATAAAGAAGTACGATTATGTGAATAAACCTAATTTTTAGAACGTGACATGAGATGTTATGCGTTTGATGGCTACATGATCTTTGTGATGAAATAATAGATTCATTTCAATCATTGCAAGTATATTCAATTCGTTCAATGACATGTGTGAAAACGTTTACTCATAGTAGTATTGATAAACTCAGAAAGCACGTAACTTTTATTTATTACAAGTTTGAACTTACTAAAGGACAGATTTCGTACAAATCGCTGAGTGAGGAGACTTGCTTACTTTTCGAATATTTTGACTTTATCTGAAAAAAGTCAGTATGTTGATTTAATATTCACAGACATTTATAGAATGCATGATTCTAAGACAAATCCAACATTACTATTGAGAATCACTAATGATCACGAGATTTGAAATGAATGGATTCGTAATGAACTAAATATGCAGCCAGCGGTGTAACTGCCGCTCATCTTATTGATCTTATTTGGAATTCTGCCTTCTATCATCCTTTGATATAACATAAATTTCGTTAACAAGTCGGCGTGTTTGACTTTCAATAGTATTGACTATGTAAACCAATGTATTTATAAAGAAACTTCTTTTAAAAGATAACAACATGCTTAAGCAGTTGATTGTCTGATAATCACTTAATTTAGTGTTTCTCATGTTGACTCTTGTCAATACGTGTTTACTAATTTGTTCACTCATTGGATTTTCACTATTCAATTCTATCACTAATGAGTTAAGGTGTTACTCAGTTTTATGACAGTCAATATTTCAATCTTTTCGAAAGTGGACTATCAGTTGCTGTTTGTACTATGAAATACATATGGTTAACAATCAACGATTTCCTACTTACGTTTTTCAGTTTTGAATACAACGCGAAAACATCATCCATCATCTTCTTATTCTTTTGTAGCGCTCCGACATTTTTCAAATACTTGAAAATGTTTTCTCTTACTGCTCCTTCCGTTTTATCAGCCTGAAGTTTATGAAAAACGCACATCAAAACCACCATTTAATCAAATGTTATCTATACTCCGGTTTGATTCCATTTTTGTGTGTTTAAAAAGAGGAATGAACAAAAGTATTATTCCTTACAAAGAATTAGACCTTTTCATTCGTTGCCATTTATGACTATCTACTCAATGATTTTGATCAGTGACACAAGAATCTCCCTATTTGTCATTCAAATGGAAAAGCTGATATGCGCCTTCCACTTTGAGAATAGTGTTATATATAGGCCGTCCTCTCTGATCATCCTCCTTTCAGCTTATTTTTGTGTCAAAACCGTTTAATCGCAGGTAGAGCAAGGAATACCGAGAAAAGCGTGATACTATTTATGTCATTTGCACCATTGCAGTTGTTATTCATGGTAGTTATACATTTTTCTCTAAATCGTCTATTGCAGTTGACTACCTTTTCCTTTGAATACACAATATGCAGTGTTAACGCATTTAGCTACTGTTGTATCGCTTATTTCATACACTGGTGAGATGTGATTCTTTAATGAAACGCAGGCGGTAGCAAACACTACAAACTTGACGAAAAGACTATGACAGAGTTCAATGAATTCATGTATCTCCTCAAAATCGATTGCTTACACTAAGGAACATGGTGTGGAGGTGCTAGTTTGTGGGGTAACGGACATTTCTTTACAATTGAAGAGTGTCTATATTTTTCATTAAATACTTGAGTCGGAGTGGTCAAAACTAATGCTGCATCACTTTTAATGTACAGACATAAGACTTGATAAAACTGTCAAAGCTAACAACTGATAACAATTTCACTAAAATCTAACTTTCAGGAATCCTTCAAAAATTTCGTTTACAAATTATTCTCTCTTTTGAAAATCTCAGGTTAAAATGGGTCAACATAAACAGTATATGAAATATGATATGTTATTTACTGGAATAATTACGGCAAACGT